GGATGGATGACCTGGGAAAGGAATTGGCACTACCCGGTCTGATTACTGAGAATGGTGACGATAACGAATTTCACACCTGTTGTATGCCAGGCACTCTGCTAGATGATTTACAGAAATTATCTTAACCCCTCCCAACAGTTACACAAGGTAGATACGTTAACCCCACTTTATGGATGAAGAAACAGGAATTCAGAGAAGTGATGTCACTTGCCCAAAGTCACACAGCAAGACAACGACAGAGGCCGGTATTCTAGACCTGGCCTCTGACTCCCAGCCCCCTGCTCTCATGCCAGATGGGAGACCTCAGACTGCAGAGAATATGACAGCTCTAAGGGGAGTGGAAGAGTAGAGATGTCAGGTTGACACCTGGCTGGGGGAGGGGTTATGCCTGGCTAGGGGGCTTCTTCCAGGATGTGGAAGAAGAGGGGACCCAGACCTCCCTGAAATACTCTCACTCCCTGGAATTTATCACAACCGTTTTGGAATAGTACATCCAATAATGATAATGATCATGACTGTGGATGGGCCTATTCAGTGCTTATGATGTGCCAAGCCTTGTTCTAAGTTCTTCATCAGTAATACATGACTTTACCCCCATAGCAGATATCCCTGTGACCCTGGTACCAGTAGTACTCCCATTTTACAGACGGCAAACTAAGGCACAGAAGGGCCAACTTGCTATTGTCACATTGATGGTCAATACTGTAAGCTTCTTGATATAGAGACCTTGCAATGATCACAAATAGGCTTGATATCTAAATACTAAAAAAATGAAAAGAAGAATGTATCTTCTAAAATCTTCACCATCATCACCACAGTCAGTATCACCACCACCAGTATCACCATCGTCACAGCCACCCCCACGACAACCCTCATCACTGCTACCACCACCATCACTGTCATCACTGCTCTTACTAATTCCCCATCCTCTCTGTCACCAGCATCACCAGCATCGTCACCATTGTTCTGATAATTTCCATCACCGTTGTCATAACCACCACCATCATCATCATCATCCCCATCACACTGCTATTCTTAACTTCTGCTCTGGTGGTTCTCAGCCAGTGCAATTTTGGCCCCCATGGGACCTTTGTGATGCTTTGAGTCATTCTTGGTTGTCTGAACTGAGGGTGATGGTGGCTGTTGCTACAGGCATCCAGTGCATAAAGACCACTCGTCCTACAGTGCACAGGACAGCCTTACCCCCCACCACTGAAATAACGATCAGACCCCAGGTGTTGACAGTGCTCAGGCTGAAACCCTCGGGTCTGCTCTGTGCTGATAACACCGCTAAGCCCTTCACCATCCATGTGGTGTGTCCAACCCCCACATCACCCTCCAGGGCAGGTACTACTCTCCACACCCTCCACGTGGGGCTGGGAGGATCTGACAGGAGGAATGATCTGCTCAAGATCACCCATCCAGCTGGAGGCAGATCTGGGATTTGAACCCAGATTTTAATCATGACTCCACGCAATCTCTTTCCCCTGCATACTGACCTCTGTTACCTGTTTCCCCAGCTTCTCTTGGTAACTAGTGAGTACCATTGACAAAACACATGCTGGATGCTTGACACACACCCCTGTCGTTCACACACCTGCCCTTCTATGTGGACCTTCAATATCTACACTGTAAACAGAAAGCAGCAGGGCTTAAGAGAAGCCACTGCATGAAACTCCTCTGGTATTTAGAGACATGACTGACTCCAGACCCCCTACTCTCTGCTATAAGCATCTGGTCCTCAAGACCTATTTGTTTGCCCAGATGATCCCTGACAACCCAGTGCCTGGCTTGTCCCTTCCCCCTCTGGTTCCCCCTCTCAAGGATGTGCTGGCTCTTGAGTCCTAGTCCCTAGCCACCATCCCACCCTGGGCCAGGGTGACCCGTACCTGGTGGAGTAATGTTTGATCAGGGTATGGATCAGGATGATACAGAAGAAGACACCTCCCAGGACTGTCATCAAGATGAGAAGCACCACCCAGGTTCCTGAGATGGTGAAAGTTTTGGTAACAATGGTCCTGCGCCCTAGAAGGAGAGGATACATGGAGGTCAGGACCACCATTCACTCATCCCTTCATTCATCCGCATATCTGTTCTTGGAAGTTTTATCAGCATCTGCTGTGTGCAAAGCACTGTTCCAGGTACTTGGGAGTCAGCAGTGAACAAAACAAACTTCCGGCTCTGACAGGGCTGATATTCCAGCTAGGAAGTGGACAGTTGACAGTTAAGCAAAGAGATGTCTAATATCAGGGCAGGCAGCAGTACACGCTACAGAAAAGCACGAAGTGACGTAAGTGGAGAGAGAGTGACAGGGTAGGGGGTGCTGGTTACACAAGGTCATTAACTCCTCCCACAGATACTCATTCACTGAGCACCAGCTATGCGCCAGGCACCATCTTATGTCCTGGGGACAAATGGTGATCAAAGAGCTTGCCCAGTCTCTGTCGTCTTGAAGTTTTATAGTCCGGGGAGGGTCGACAGGTGTGAACTGGGCAGTCCCACAAAACACCGTGTCTGGTGCATCGCTGGTGCTTGGTCAGCAGTGTGGAGTGGCCGAAACAGCTGTCTCCACCCCTCATTCAGTATCTGCGTGTGGCTTTCTCTAGAGCCAGGCTGATGGCTCTGGCACCCTGTCTGATGTCCGTGCAGCAGCTCCGTTGTGTAGGCTCCTTACTATCTCAGCACTGCAGAGGGGGCACCTGGGGCTCAGGGAGGTGATGCTGCTTGTCTCTGCATCGTGCACGGCAGCAGCAGAGCTGGGATTTGAACTCAGGTCATCCGGTTCCAGAGCCCTGCTCTGCACGCCTGCTCTCTCCCTGAGCGTGTCACCCTCTCTCCTTGGTGCTGATGATGGGACCAGGGCTTGCTGCAAAGGTGCTTGCCCCGTTTACAGATCCCTTCCCAAGCCCAGTTTCTGAGGCCACATCCGCCAACAGACCTCTGCTTCCCCTGCACCACCTCCCAGGGCATCTCTCCACGTCCTCACCTCAAAGCAGCCAAAGAGATCCGCTGAGGGCACAGGCTGTGAGGTCAGACTGCCAGGGTTTGAGTCCTGCCTCCTCTGCCAGTTAGAACTGGAACATTGAATAAAGCCCTCAGATTCCTTGCAGCTTGATTGGCTCACCTGTAAACTGGAGGTGATGCTAATAACAGTCACTTACTCTGTAGGGAGACTTGGAGTGTCATGCAGATGAGAATGGCGGCTCCAGGCACAAGTGAGTGCTCAGCAAATGCTGGCCGACCTCATCTCCCTGGAACCCACCCTGACTGATCTGAGGACTTTGGGGGCTTCATAAAGGAGGCAGTTTCTCCCTTTCCTCCTTCCTTCCTTCCTTTCAAATCAAGGTCCTGGGGATTGAACTCAGGACGCCATGCAGGCTGTGACTGAGCTATATCCCTCTCTCTCAAGGAGGCAGTTTGGACTCGGACGTCGGCGGGTGGGGGGATCTCGCCCAACCATGGTGAGCACGGCACTGCAGGGTGGAGACGGCAGCCCTGAGGACAGGCACCGCCCCGGCAGAGGCATGGAGGCGGGGAGACTGGGCAGCGTGAACCCCCGCGGGGCAGCGGCGGCACTCACAGGGCGCCTGCACCTGGACTTCCTGGTGAAAGGTCAGCTGGGTGACGGGATTCTCCCCGATGCATCTGTATCTGCCCATCTGGTCCCAGGTCAGATTCAGGAGGGTGATGTTTTTCTCTGAGAAGCTCAGGAGGGAGCCATTGTGCATCCAGCGGTACTTGGATTCTGGTCTGGAGTAGGAGACACACTCCATCTCCACCTGGGAGCCGATCTCAGCGGGCAGGACGCCATTGAAGTCATTCGGATTGGTCCACAACAGCACATAGTAGGGTCCAACTGCAGAGACAGCGCAGGAGACCCGGAGCTGTGCCTCTGACCACTCCGGGTCCCGTCTCCTTCCCTCAATCCACCTGCAGTCCCCCCGGAGCCAGGAGGTGACCCCACTCTGCACCCCAGTCAGACCCCCAGACCCACCCCAGGCAAGGCAGCTGGGCCAACAACAATGACAATAATAGTAGTGGCTTCTGTCACCTGCACTCACTGTGGGCCAGCCCCATGGGTGCCCTTGGTGCCATAATAAAACATGTGTCTCTGAAGCAAGCAGCAGGCCCCTGCATGCCAGACAGTTTTAAACACGATACACATTCACCCACTCACTTAATTCCCACACAAGCAATGCAACCGAGTCCACTCTGCATCCATTTCATAGATGAGAAAAACGAGGCTTCGAGGAGAGGATTAGGGAATCAGCGGTCCCCGGTCGACTAAGGACCAAGCAAGTACCGCTATGAACTGGGAGGAACTTCGCTAAACAGCTGCAGCCCCTGGGTCCTGGGTCTTGATTCCAAACCTCTGACTATAGATGGAGGATGATGGTCAGAAATGGTCTGCTCTGGGACAGGTTTCTCCAGAACTGGGGCCACAGCCCATGCGTTAGGACACCTGAGCTTCTGCAAGAGTGGTTCCAGATTTAAATGTGAAAACGATCCTAGACTGGTGATTTTTCCCAGTCGAAGGTGATATAAGAGTTGGATAAATGTGAACAGTCCTGGAATGTTTCAAAGATTCCGAGTTTTACAGCATCTGTGAGTTCAATGTCTTTGATTTACAAGACCTGTTTAAGAATTTGAGCAAGTCTTGTTGGGTTGCCAGCAGCATGGTTAGAAGTAACAGAGAATGTATGAAACACATAATTGAGTTTTTAAAGCGAATTGTCCAAGGGAGTATAGTCAATTCCGTCCCAGGAAAGCAAACGTGAAGGTCATTTTACTGTATCTAGAAGAACAGCATAAAATAATCAATGAGCTGAATTGGAAGGCTCAGGGAAAGAAGGGTTTTGAAACCGAAGAAATGGAACTGAAGAAACAACTGGTTGTGAGGAGGGGAGGGTCGAGCTCAGTGGTAGAGAGCATGCTTAGCATACACGAAGTCCTGGGTTCAATCCCCAGTGTTGCCATTAAAAAAGAAATGAAATAGTAAAAGTAAATAAATAAACTTAATGACCACACCCCCAAAAAAGAAAAAAGAAACAGTTGGTTGTAAGCAGTCCCTTCTTTACACAAAAGCCTGATGTCAACAAACTCATAGTACTTCTAATCTGAGAAGCAGGGACTCGGGCCTCTATTTGAAATTGAGTAGAGGCCAGTTCTGAGCAGTGAGGATAGTTCTGAATTCCAAAGAGTTAAATGGCCATAGCTGGGATTCGAACCCAGGGCAGCTGGTTCATGCTTCCTCCCCAGGTCTGCCTGTCTTATTGTTACATCCTTGGAAGACCCTGAGCCCATCCCTGGCTTCACTCCCATGACCCCAGAACACTCACAGAACACTGTCAAAGAGATGGGTTCACTTCTTTGAATAATCTCTGGGAGGACTTCTATCCCACACTGAAGCGGTTTGTCGGAGCGGCTGAATCTTTGGATGATGAGGGTCTTGCCGTCTGGGGAGATTGTCATCCGGTTATTGCTGGACACTGGTATGTAATCCACATACCATGTGACGTTGGTGGCATTGGTGTCGCAGACGGCAGCCACGGATTCCATGTCCTCTACCACGGAGCTGGCGTTGACCGAGATGCCCGGGATTTCTAACTCTGGGTGGATGAAGCAGGAAGGAGGAGATTAGGGTTTGGATCTGCCTCCCCAAAGCTCTGCTTTTCTCCAAAGAGAGGATTCAGTTTATGTTGGTGACAAGCCAAGAATCGTAAGATGGGATCTGGGGTCTTGGCAGGAGAGCATCCCTGGGGCTGCCAGGGACAGAGAAGTAAGGAGTGGGCAGGAGGCAGTCAGGATGCAGGCGCTTTCCTGAGCTCATCGACTTATGCACTGAGCCATCTCTGTGGCATCCGTTGCGATAATGGTGAGTTCTTAGCATAGGCATGTGGCCTAATGGTTGTTTCTGAACCCCAAAACCAGGATACCCCCGTCCAAGGAGCTGTGGGTAGAATTCAGAGTGAGAGGTGGCTTTTGGATTCTCCATAACGATTCCTCCCATAATCTGATTCCCTTTCTCTTTACAGATACTTCCTCCAACCTTACAACAGACCACAATGGTAGACAGTATGCCCGTCCTACAGATGAGAAAACTGAGGCTCACAGAATGAAGACAAAGACCATGTGGTATATATGGAGACAGAAGTAAACAAAGTATTTTCAGTCTTCAAAATCTATGCCGACCTGCCGTAGCCCTGTGGAGCTGTATGGAGTAGGCAGAACTCCAAGATGGCCCCATGATCTCCACTCCTTGGTATACACCCTGTTAAATCACCTCACCTCAAATGTGAGTGGAATTTGTGACTTTCTTTTAGCCTAGGGAATATGGCAAAGGTGATGAGCTATCACTCCTATCGTTAGATTTTTTTATATAAGACTCCTTCCTAGCCGACTAGAGAGAGATGCTTCGGATGAACTTGAAGAAGCAAAGGGCCATGGTGTGAAATCTCCGTGGACAGAGTCACACACATGAGAACACAGCCCCGGTCAACATTTTGTGAGTCTCAGCATATGGAATTGCCTAAGCCATGCCTAGACTTCTGACTCACAGAAATGAGCGTTGTTCTAAGCTGCTAAGTTTGAGGCTATGTGGATAACATGTACACTGACAGTGTAACTGGAACCCCTGAACGTAGTGAGTGCTCCATCTCTGGGGAGAAGCTAGACGACCATCTGCCAAGGCTCCCAGTGTCATCTGGAAGTGGGTGGGAAACTGGACAATTTGAGCTCCAAGAGGCCTCACTGCCCATACCTCCAGGTCCAACTCCCCTTGCAGTCAGACAAGGGGGCAACCTGCCCACTCACCTTGAATCTTGAGCCAGCCAGTTGTTCTCTGGGTCCCGCTGATGGCATCCACCCGCACAGTGTAGTTCCCCGTGTCATTTAATTGAGCCCGAATGATCAGCAGGTTACCTGCGTTAGACAGGGCTTCCCGGCCACTGCCCATACTGCCGGGAATCAGACGTGCTGTCGTAGCTGATAATCATGTTTCCCTCGGTGTCATTTGCACCCCGGTGCCAGCTATATTCCTGAGCATCCTCAGGGGCGTTCCCGAGGACCAGGTAGCTCCGATATCCCTCTACCCCTACGAGTGTGTCTGGGATGATGTAGATTTGGCTGGAGGCCTGACGGATCCCACAGGCCATCAGACTGGCTAAGGAAGACAAAGAGAAAAAGACACAAAGACTGATTTACACCCCCAGGCAATGATCCACAGAGACACTGGTGAACAGGCTAAGGATTTCTAGCTCCTGAATGACTCCCTAGCTTGTCCCTTCCTCTCCGCTCCCTCAGCCCCTGCCCTGGTCCATTCTTTCCTCATCCTTTTCCAGCTTGACCTCCTCCCTGGACACTCAGCCTCCAATCCATCCTCACATGAAAGTTATGTGGATCCTTATAAAGCCCCACTGCTGACCCTGCTCTCCCCCTGCTCAAGTATCTTCCATGGCTCCCCAGTACTCTCACAGTAAATGTCAAACTCTTAGCATGGCTTATGAGATAGTTTTTTTAAAACTGAAGTATAGACAGTTTACAATGTTGTGTCAATTTCTGGTGTACAGCACAATGCTTCAGTCATACATATATGTACACATATCTGTTTTCATATTCTTTTTCATTTTAGGTTACTATAAGATATTGAATATAGTTCCCTGTGCTGTACAGTAGAACCTTGTCGTTTATCTATTTTATATACAGTAGTTAGTATCTGCAAATCTCGAACTCCCAATTTATCTCTCCGCACTCCCTTTCTTCCCTGTTAACCATAAGTTTGTTTTCTATGTCTGTGAGTCTGTTTCTGTTTTGTAAGTAAGTTCATTTGTGTCTTTTTAATTTTTTTGAGTCCACATATAATGATATCATATAGTATTTGTCTTTCTCTTTCTGGCTTGCTTCACTTAGAAGGACAATCTCCAGGTCCATGCATGTTGCTGTAAGTGGCATCATTTTATTCTTTTTTATGGCTGAGCAGTATTCCATTCCATTCCATAGATATATACACACACACACACACACACACACACACCACATCTTCTTTATATGAGACACTCTTAGAGAGAACTGGTTTTTAGGACCCATCTAGCCTCTTCTTAGACCACATCTACCTCACCCCATCGCCCCAGGTACTTCCTTATTCATTCATTCATTCACGAAAAGACCCAGCATCCATGCTGTGTGTCTCAGTGGCACATACAGCTCTCTCTGGACATACCACACACTCTCCTGACTTCAGGCTTTCTCCAGTGCTCTTCCTTATTTGATCACTGCCCTCCCCACCTCATCTGCATCCTCCTTGTTGACTCACTTCTTCTCATCCTTCAGTGTTCAGCTTTGGTGTCTTCTCCTTCCCAGCCTGGGTCGGCCACCCTCTCAGGGCTCCCCCAGCCCCCTCTTCCCAGTCCCCATCACTCTGGGTTATCAGAGTCTGGTGACAAATCTTCCTGTTCCACTGGACTGTGAGCTCACTGGCCACCTCGGTGACCACTGCGTCCCCAGCACCCTGAACACAGGGTGGAACCCGGCAGGAGTGTGCTCAGCATGAGTATGTGGGTGGATAAAACGGCCCCAAGACTGTCAGCATGTGTCTTTGATTTAGCACCTAAGTTCAGTGGAGTGAATGTGAATGGGGGAGGGGACCTGTCATGTCCTAAGTCATGGGTGAGCATCTGATGCTCTGTGACCCCTAAGCCCTGACTCCGTGGAGGAGACAGCTGAGACCCCCTGCTGCAGGGCTCCAGGTGTGGACCCTGGAGTTGTTTGAGGACACTATACGTGGCCATCAGGGAAACATGAAAGGCATGCATAGCAGGGGGAGGCAGAGAGTCCTGGGGGAAAGTGAGGGATTTGGAAGGGGTCCAGCTGGAGAGGTGGGGCAGGGGATCAGATCCTATGGGCACCCAGATGAGGTGATTGCTTGGAGGTGTGCATGGGGGTCCCAGTTCTTCATTCCGCGGCTGGATAAAAATGAACATGTGTATGTGTGTGTGTGTGTGTGTGTCTGTGTATGTGTGTCTGTGTACCCAGGGATGTGAGCTCACAAAAGTCCTGGTGAGCATCCTGGGCCCTTCACTTCCTCCTCCCCTCTCCCAGCAAGCCCAGATCTCTTACCCACAAGGACTAGTTCCCTCCAGACGCTGCACCTGGGTGTGGAATAGTCCATGAGCTGTGTGGGTCCTCCTGGTGGAAGGGTCTCTCCAGGGACCGGGCAGCCTCCTGATCCCTTTATACAGCTGATTTATACAGCTGCGTTGTCTCAGGCCTGAGCTGTTGTCTCCTCCCCCATCCTTCCTCAGGGATGGACTCTGAACCTCAAAGTGGGAGGGGCTGTCTGGGAGGCATTCTTCTGAATCTGCCATTGTCTTTATGGCTTTATATCCACAAGGAAGGACCATGGACCAATGGCAACTGAGAATATCAATGGCCATTATGGGGAACTTTTGAAATCCCGAAACTTACTTAACACTGAATTGAACCACTTGAGAACAGAAAAAAGCACAAAGAGCATCACTCATCACCCAGTTACACGGGGTTAAGTCACAACCCACTGCAATTACCTACCAACAGTCCACCCTGAGAGCAATTCAGAGGAAAAAAGGTGAGTCACTGTGTGCTTTGGATAAGGGGGTCCCAAGATCCATATCTCAGGAAGAATCTCAGTGACTCTCAGCTCTTGCATCTTCCTGTACATAAAAAAAAGGCACTAAAATCATTAACTTGAGATAGCTGTTGTTTGTGATGAGCAGTGATCCTTTACCAACATATGTGCTTGACTACACATATTTTCCAGCTCAAAAATTCAAGTATGTAGATAAACAACAAATTTATACTGTACAGCACAGGGAAGTATATTCAATATCTTATAGTAACCTACAATGAAAAAGAATATGTAAACATATATACAGATGTATATGTATGTGTTAATTTCTGGTGTATAGCATAGTGATTCAGTGTTACATATATATATTCCTTTTAATATACTTTTTCATTATAGGTTATTACAAAATATTGCTTGTAGTTCCCTAGGCTATACAGTAGGACCTTGTTGTTTATCTATTTTATATATAGTAGTAGTAGTAGCAGCAAATCCCAAACTCACAATTTATCTCTCCACCCACCCCTTCCAGCACTGTGAGTTTTCTATGCCTGCAAGTCTGTTTCTGTTTTGTAAATAAGTTCATTTGTGTCATTTTTTAGATTCCACATATAAGTGATATCATATGATATTTGCCTTTCTCTGTCTGACTTACTTCACTTTGTATGAAGATCTCCAGGTCCAACCAAATTGCTGCAAATGGCATTATTTTATTCTTTTTTATGGCTGAGTAGTATTCTATAGTGCGTGTATGTGTGTGTGTATGTGTGTGTGTGTCACAATTTCTATATCCAGTCATCTGTTGATGGACATTTAGGTTGTTTCCATATCTTGGTGACTGTAAAGGGTTGTGCTCAGTTTTCAAATTGTGGCATCCCATTTTTTACAACCAGATGCTCCCCCCTCAACCCCCGCTACCCACCTCAACATATTGTACTTTTCTCCTTGTCAGTGACTGGCCCGCCGCATGGCCATTTTCAACGGCTGCAGGGCAGGCTGTGATATGCCAGCCAGCACTGACAGGACCCGTTCCCTCGGCGTTGATCTGATTCCTCAGGTCCAGCAGCAGGGCTCACGCTGCGTGGGGCGGGGAGCGCGGGGAGGAGCGGACGGCGCTCCTGGCAGAGGGCGTGGAGGAGGGGAGCCGAGCTGTGCGGAGCTGCGACGGGGCTGCACACTGAGACCAGACTGAGACAGACAGACCTGGGCGCGCGGAGAGAGCGGGGAGGTGGCTGAGCGAGACACAGAGACGCGGGGGAGAGAGAGCACATCCCAGAAATGTTCAACCAGCAAGGTCTTTCAGACTGTACTTGGGAATATGGTCATCTTTTGTCTTTATAACAACACGTACTACTTTTTTTTATTTTTCCTTTTTATTAGGTAAAATTGGTACAATTTGACTGCACGTGTACAATATAGTGCATGTAAATACAGACATACAATGTACTGCACGTATTTTTAAAATTTACATATATGTACTTTTCACTGTTTCTGAGAACAGCTTAGACCTTTAGCTTTTTAAACTTACGTAGTTGTTAGAGGAGTAAAGCCAACCGCAAAATAAGAATGAACAGAATGTGGTAATCCAATCATAAAGGACAGTCAGATGTGCTTACACATATTCAAGAAATCAATCATCTAAGTTATAAATAATTAGTTCATTTGTGTCCTTTTTGTTTTTAGATTCCACATACAAGCAACAAGTGCTACTTCTTTAATTGCAAAAGGAATGTATTGGCTGCAGAAAATCTGGAAAATGCTTAACAAACAAAAAGAAGATAGAACTGTACCATTTTAATAAGAATTTTAAATAAAATAATCTATTATGCATAGCTTCCAAATACATATTTATAAATATATAAATATTTATAATAAATACTTTTAATTAGATAAAGATTCACATATTTATCTAAACATGTAAATATTTACACATGTATACATTTCACATGTATAATTATCTAAATAAATTAAAATAGTTTATAAAGAAAATAAATATACAATTACTTACTATAATTTAATTAATACCATTAAAGATCACCGGTAGTAATTTGATCACCTGGAGGTATATCCAGCCTTGTCCTACATATATTTTCAGTTTTGAGGTATTATATATACACGCATGCACATATCTGTATTTTTACCGAAGTGTAATCATACCATTAAAAAGAAATAACGGGCCCAAAGTGGAGTCACTTTCGCAGAGCCACATCACCAGACCAAAACTTAGTAACTAACCTGAGGGCAGTTTCAGTCTCTCCCAGGAGTGGCACCAGTGAGTTCTTCTACACAATCAGACCCCCTGCCTTTCCCTTCCCCCAAAGAAAGGTGACCTTGCCTGAAACAATCCTGGTTTTCCTCTTGCTAATAACTTGCCGCACCCTCTTCTGCTTATTAAAAGAACTTCCACTTCGTACCACCCCTCAGAGTGCCTTCCTACTTGCTAGATGGAGTGCTGCCTGATTCATGACCTGCTAAATAAATTTTCAAATCTACTTGGTTGAATTTTTTTTTCTTCTTAACCATACCATGAAATATCCTTCTTTATTTGAGACAAAAGGCACAACCAAGCCAAAGATTGGGAGAAGGAAGGAGTTTATAACTCGCAGCAAGTAAGGAGAGCACACCAGAGACCTTTCCCAAAGCGTTGTCTCCCCAAACAGCCAAATGGGGAAGTTTTAAGCTAAGAGCACATACATATTCATGGTGGGGCTTAGGTGGTTTATGCATATTCATGAGGGGGCTTGAGCAGAGAAGAGCTCAGCATAGAATTGGGACAAAGGTCGGCAGAGTCAAAGCTTTAGCTGATGGAAGCCATGAGGGCCAGAAGAGATCAGCGCATCATCCCTTTGGTTGCAGTGGACCTGGTGGTTGCCTGAGCACTGGAGGGGGTTTCAGTTCCACAAAACAGCTAATCTTTCCTATTGTAACAGAACTGGGAGGCTTTACAACTGATGTGTTATCTTTGCTATTGTTGCTTCTCTTGCCTGATAACAGTCTTTTGTTCCTGCCTTCCTTTGCTCCCTTAAGATCATTAATTACTGAGCCCTGTTCCAGGGCAAGCATTGTGGCCAGGCTTAGATCACAAAATGGCTTAGGTCAAAAATGGTCTCTCTTATGTCAAGATACCCATTCCTGGTTCTCTTTCTCCGGAGACCCCTTTACCTTATCTGCTTACACCATTTGTGAATTTTACATGGGTCCCAGAGACAGACTTGGGTAGTAAAGAATTTAGCTTTAACCAAAGAGAGGTCTAGTCTTTGCCGTCAGCTCCTGGGAGGGAACTTCTGAGCCTTAGAATCTCCTTCTTTTTTTGTTCTGTTTTTTAATTAATTTTGTTTGGGGTTTTTTTTGGGGGGGTGGTGTTTGTTTTTTGTTTTGGAGGTGAGATAATTAAATTTATTTAGTTCTTTTAATGGAGGTACTGGGGATTGAACCCAGGACCCCCTGCTTGCTAAGCATGTGCTCTACCACTGAGCGCTACCTTCCCCCCTAGAATTTCTTTTCCTTTCTTTTTTCTGACATCTGTTTTAGCAATAATTTTTTTCCCTTCTTCAGTTCTATTAGGTAGAATTATCAGAATTCAACTGCACATACACATTATTAGAGTCTCTTCCTTGACACATGCCTTTGTTTACCTGGGGGCTGGAGCCACAGCAGATAGTCTAGCAATGGAATTTATGATGGAGGCTTTGGGTCACGAGGTATCAGCTCTAATTCTGAAGAGGCTGGAGTCTGGGGTCAGCCATGTGGCAGTCAAGCATAGCTATGTGACAGAGCCTCAATAAAAACCCTCAGGGGGGCTTCCCTGGTGGGCACGTTGTCACCCATCAGTGCTGGGAAAAGGCAGTGCTGTCCACGACTCCATGGAGAGGACAACGGGAAAGTCCACACTGGGAATTCCAATTCCCCTGGACCCTCCCCCATACACCCTCCCTTAACTGATGTGAATCTGTATCTTTTCGCTGTAATAAACTGTAAGCATGGAGATAACAGCTTTTAGTGAGTTCTGTGAGTCCTTCCAGGGAATTACCAAAACTGAGGGTGGTCTTGGGGACCCCGGAGTTGCAACTCGCGTCAGGAGTGAAGGTGGTCTTGGGGACTGCCCCCTAACTAAGCAGAACTCCGAATGGTGCAAAGCATTTGAGGAGAGAGTGTGGTTATAGAGGGGGCTCTCCGACCCCACTGCCGGGGTTCCAATCCAAATGCTGCCACTTACCTGCTAAGTAATCTTAGGACAGTAACCTTCTTCCCCTAAGCCTCACCTTCTCCACCTGTAAAATGGGGATATTAAATGCCTCCTGTCCCTAGGGTGTTCTGAGAATTAAATGAGTTAATACACACAAATGACTGAGAACAATGCTTCACACGTACACAGTTTCAGTAAATGTCAATTCCTGTAATTATGCATATTTTGAAATCTTTTTATACCTATTACTGAACTTAAGAAAAGAAAAAAAAAAAACTTGCTCTAACAGGATTATCCCATTATATTATCACATTTTTTTTTCCAGAGAAGGAAGTTGAGTGTACTCAAGGAGTGTTTTCTTAATAGAATTGGGCACTTCTGTGGAGAAAGCAAATCCAGCTACATAATTTGTGGGGCCCAGTGCAAGATGAAAA